AGTAAAGAAGTTCAGTTAATTGTTGAGAAATATATCTGTTTTTCAAGAACTTTTACCCGAAACTCGAACTCACCTTTGCAAGACGTTTCATGGCCGCGTTCAAGGGACTTCCCGCCCTTGAGTAGAAGTACAAAAGCCAAATTAATCCATTCACGCTCGATATGTGATTTGTCGAGGCTAGAGGGTCATCATGTGCGACCGCTTTAGACGAGTCACATGACCAAATTTGCCCCTGAGGAATATCCTTTGATATTCCTCAATTTTAAAACCTTGAGTCCAATGCGCTAAAAATGTTTATTTGAAGTTAAAGCGGTCTAGAGAGCATTCTATTGGAGAGAGAGATTTTTTTCCTGAAATGGCCCTGAAATATAAACGAAAGATTGTAACAGTAACCTGAATATGCCTCGGCTAAAACCGACGAAAATTCGGTAATACATCCCGAATGATATTCTAAATTTGCAAACCTTCGTTTGCAAATTCAAAGTGTACGTCTAAGATTGAGTTCAAGCTGAGAAAACATTTAGCTGTTGTTACAGAGGAAACGACATGTTTGTTTGTTCATAAAGTCGAGTGCACACTGAAAAGTATACATCTCACGCAGCAAACGGTAAGCTGTCGGTATACATTTTTTTCCTGTGCGTCGCTAAAATATTTTATGGATACTAAACACAGTAGCCTCCATTTGGGGCTAAATTATGCCCGTATATTTGTCCTTAAACATTATCGGTTCTCCGTACCCCACGGTTTTCGTGAGCTTTGCTCTGGGGAAAACTGTTCGCTTTACGGACAAACATCCGAGCCTATTTTTGCGCCAAATGAAGGTTATTGTTTATATAATTTCGAGCTAATGTTTATCACCCAGCACGAGACGATTAAAATATTGAGGCAAATATTTTTCAAAATAGACGCTTTCCCATCTCGACATTTCTGAAAAAAGGCAAATAGAATATTAGAAAATTAAGCTCATTTGACGTTTACTTTAGAATTATCCAAAACAATTTACTTCCCTCAAGCTCAGTGAATATTTTTGATGCCGTTTTTTTAAAGTACATTGGATAACAAATCATAAAGAAAGAGCCAAGGTTTTCTCTTGCACTCTGCAAATACCCTGTTTGACCAAACTCATATGCGACGATGAAGCAATTAAGAGCGATTAAATATTTAAATTACCATGTCGTATTTTCACACTGACGGATAATTTTGATGAGGCCTTCGATGATTCCACAGGACAAATCGTAAATAAAGATTGAAATTTCTGTAAAAGGAGGAGCAGAAGAATAGGATATGTTTCTCGTTAGTGTCGTTTGCGATCTCAATCACAAAGCGTTTTGTAGGTTATCAAGGTTCTGCTGATTCGATGTTTTTTTTTTTTTTTTTTTTTTTTTTTTTCTTTTTTTAATCACTACAAAGATGTGGAAAGCTACGGGCGTGACATAAATAATAAACATTCTCTTTTGTAGTAAAATGTAAACTTTCTTAGGTACAACAGATCTGTCACTAATTAATCACTGACCACTGGCTTTTATTCCACATATACAGACTTTGGTAAAAAAGTGGCAATAAATTGTATTTGAAGTAAAGGTGTCAAACTGTCTAAACAACAAAGCGGACAAATACTTGTTACAACTAATGACTTCTTCAGAAATTCAATACATTTTTTGAAACAATTATCAACTGAAAACATTAACTTGCGGTCCCCCAAAAAAACAGAACTACAGCCTGCTTTTCAACAGTAGAAATGTTCCTGAATCCTCTCGAACCATTGATGAGATCAGTTTCCAATCAATAATCTTTTGAAAAAGCTCAACCCTAAGTAACTGTATTAAAGGTTTGAGTCATTTCGCAAAATGACATTAGTCAAGGTTACCCATTAACTGCGGACACCTTTACTGCGGCGAAAGCGAAACTTCTGTAAAACGGTTGGCGTGTCTCCCGTTGATGTACTCGTTCCTTTCCTTTGCCCGCCGAAAAAAAAGCATACTCATCGTTCGACGATATGTTGGTAGGCGCCATGCGTAGACAAACGCGCCCAGGCACACTTTTACAAACAACAACAGATCGGAGATTTCGAGAGCAATCTGAATGTTTTCATTGGCCTGAGGAGAAAGCTCGTCTGATAGATAAAGGAATATTTGAGCTGTTATGACATGTGGCAGCGCGGATAAGAGCAAAATAGCAGCTAAATACATCGCCACTGCTGTAAATTGCTGCTGTAGATTTTCGCGGCGGGTTTTTCGACTGCTTCGCGGCGAAGAGCTTTCCTCGTGCTGTTCAAAAGCGCGTTTTCTCTTCAAATGGCATCGGAAAGCTGCGTTTAATAAAAACAGAATCACCATCAAGTTAATAGATAGGAATTATCTATTCCTGACAAAATTACTGTACAAGACTTTACACAGTCTAGCGATACATCATTTTACGCTAGAATGGTACAATACACAAAAAAACTACCCTACCATACTACTAATACTAGCACATAATAATTACTACATTACAACATAGAGATTACAATACATCAGTGAACACTATAATTCATCAATACTACTATTCAATAGTTACAGTTGTATTTTACAAAAACTATGATGAGTTGACAACATATTCCTGTCCGATGCAATGTTCTGCCCTATTTAGTGGGTTGCTTTTATCTTGGCTATGAACACCTACCTATAAAGACAGATATTGCATTTATATGAATAAAATTCAGCTTATAATATAAGGTGTTTCAGATATAATATAGTCTTCAGCAGTATCAAAACATCCAAAAATAACTTGTTCTGATGTTACAGCTAGAGTTACTACATTGGTCAATAGTAAGATGAAATACAGTGCCAAAATGATTTTGTTGCATTAAGGGATTCTACCTCTGATTTGCAAAGGCGCAGAGAGGTGAGTCGATCTTTTTAAATTTGAAAAGGTTTTGTGGGATATTGATCAAATGAAGCCTTTAAGTGCTACTGTGGTTCTTTCTTTATTCACTCCGAGCTTTCGCCGTTCTACGGCATCATCAGGGAGGACGATAAAATATTTGCGCTATGGTTTTAAACGTTGGAGGTGCCACTGTAAATTAGCATAGTGTAAAACTAGCTAGTAGGACGCATGAAAACTAATGGCGTGATAAAATGTTCTAAAATATGTGTTAAACACAGTTAATTAAAATAGCTCATTAAAATAGAAGATCGTTAAGTTCAGTGCATTCCTCACGGGAGTTCAGTCCCGGTTTGTGCTTTCTGATGTAATACGCTTCGTACAATCGCAGATTGACACGACACGATTCCTACATGATCGAACAAAAGAACACTTGACCAACGACAACTCGTCGGTAAAAAAACATCTCACAGCACACCATCGCAACAACAGCCATAACATTGAAGTCAAAGTAATCACGCGTCAAAATGACCCCGTCAATCTGCGTATTACATCAGAAAGCAAATATTTTATCGTCCTCCCTGATGATGCCGTAGAACGGCGAAAGCTCGGAGTGAATAAAGAAAGAACCACAGTAGCACTTAAAGGCTTCATTTGATCAATATCCCACATCATTACGACATGCTACTAAAGGACACGTTCAAACGTTTAGTGAAAAGGTTTTCTTTGGCGAAAACAACGATTTTTGTTCAAAATATTCCCATATAATTGTATTAAGAGTAGTATTAAACGGTAGAGATCAGATTTCTTTATGCTCTACCGAAAAGGTAGGGTGTTTTAGAATTAATAATATACATGAAAAAATTACTCAGTTCTGATTGGTTAAGATAAATGCAGTTTTCAGGTAATTCAATGCAGAAGAGGCTTAAATTCAGTGCAAAGAAAGTAACAAACCAGACGCTCTGATCGGTCAATACTCATAGAAAATCACAGAGAGCCAGTAAAATGCGAGCCTTGGATGTCGCGACATTTGGATACGCTGAAAATTTGCGAGAGAAACAATGGCCGGTGTATTAAGTAGGTTTTCTTTCGCCACCGCAACAACGGTACAGCGGCTGAAAAACAGCTCTAACAACGAAAACACTGTTGGTTGTCGGTTTGGAAAAAGTGGTGTTTAGAGAAAGGAATTGCCAAGGAAATCGAAAATTATGAGCCGACCCAGCTTAACACTTTACTAGAAATTAAACCTCGAAACGACGATTCTATTTCTTTAGAAACTTACCCCCCTTAATGCTTTTGTTTTCAAGATTGCGCTTTGAATGCAATCTTTTCTCTTTCGTAAGTTCTCTAGACACGGGAATTATCTTTTTCCTTGTTCACCATGTTCATACCAATTTCCTCTTAATCCTAAAATTTGACTCTGGGCTTTGGGTTGGCTTTGGTTTTTAAAGTTCAGCAATATTGTTGCCACATTCAAGAAATAGTAGCACTCCTAACATACTTGATTGATTAAAGGTTGGGTTATGAATAACTCTGAAATAAAGAATGTATCTTTTGGGAGCAGGTTTTTCTCATATTAAGTTCATTTACCAGGTAAAAGTATCTTATATTTCAACAGAAAGTGGAGCGGAGCTGTCCACATCCTCTGTCCTTTCCCACGAAGATTATTCCTAAAATTATGCATGCAGTTATGACAGCATGTCGTTTAAATTTGACCAATCACCATTAGGTTGTCAAAAACTATGTAAACAAAAAGTTTCTCATTGGAAAGCTTGTGGGGAATAGGTTAAGAAGGCCCACAACGTCCTCAGTCTTCACTTTCAGGTTTTTTAATCACAGTTTTTCCTTTTCTCCTACAAAAATAATCCACCTCTCACTGGCATCAATCGAGCGAACCCTAATCTATGGCACACCTTGAATAAACATGAGCTGATTGGCTAAAACGATATTCACAATAACACGTGGAATAACGTGATCTTTGCCATTCAGATAAAAATAAACGCTGTCAAAGATTGGCAGTTCATGACAAAATAAACATTAAAAGCCCTATGCTATTATCGATTTTCCGACAAGCTGAACTTTGTCATCGGTTGAATCCGGCCAAAATTTGCATTGCAGTTACCAATCGATCCAGCACTATGGCTGATGTTTCGACTCCACCGGACGATTTTGAAATGATAGACGCAAATGAGATCCAAAAATATTTTGAACAGAATGGTGTGAACGGTATTTCAGGGTTCTTGAAGGAGAAGTTGGATACTTGGAAGAAAACAGAGGTTCATCTTGGAATCACTGGCGCCTCAGGAACTGGCAAATCGAGTTTTGCCAACGCGATAAGAGGGTAAGGAAACTCAGCAATATAGGGCTGAAGCTTACAACCTCAACTTTTCTCAGTTGGCTATGGCGATCAATTGGGGTCGTCAAATTCAGGTTAACAGTGGACGCCTAAACTTTCCCCCTAACTTCTCAAAATAGTCTCTTTAGGAAAAACATTCTTTGTCGACGTCCAGCTAAGCTGACTTATCCTGACAAATAAATAAAGGGGTAAGTTTCTAAAGAAACTGTGGTGCTGCGTCGGTGGGAGCGTATAGCAGGTAATTTAGTGTTAACAACTGAGTTGAAAACGTAAATTAGCCACCGTTAAGGGTAAAAAAACTGACGTTTCGAGCGTTAGCCCTTCCAAAGGAAATGAGATATCACAACGCCATATTGTTATAAGGTCGTATGATTTTTCGAAACCAATCATAATTGAGAAAGTTGGTAAACAAAAGACAATGGGAAATTCTTGCTCTCACATTGATAATAATATACATGAACTTTTTGCCCCTTAAAGATGTGAAAATATCATTGTTTTGATCGTACGCGGTTGTTTTGATCGAACGCTCAAAGTCACTTGTAGGGTCGAATAAATTATTTTTGCACTTGATGCGCGCGCTTTGCTCTGCACAATTACGATAAGCTATCTCGTATTATTTCATGTATATTATTAATACGTAATCACATGATTTTTCTCGCGCAATTCGGAATAAATAAGCACTTGTTAATTTTTTCACCATCGCTATTGCACCGAAATCATGTGATTACCTATACTAATAATACTTGATATGATTTGAAAAGCTCTTATCCCTCTGAAGTATAACTTCCCTTTGAACCACCATATGATGGAGTTAAATGACTAATGGGTAAATTTTGAAGTAAAAAACAAAAAGCAGATGAATTATGGGCTTAAAGGGTGCGACTCACCTTTTTCTTTTAACTCGTGTACACTGCTCGAACGTAGACACGCGCCAATGCTAACGCATGATGAGCAGACCGCAAGACCGCTGTTCACGAGAACACGTTTGCATTTCCCAAAGAACTTAAATAAAAGAAATCCATGAGATCTGGGGTTGGATTTTGAAATCCACCTCGAGGACGGATTTTTCAGCGGCAAAATCTGAAATCCGGATTTTAACATTTAAATTCAGATTTCCCAATCGAAAGCATCCTAAATGAGTTGGGAAAAACACGCTCATTAGAAGTGACTTTCTACTACGACGAAAGCGCTCGGAAAAAGTGCTACCTTAATTATGCATGCTCCCTTGTGTTGGGCCGGTAATTTTATAAACGATGGCTTCATGAGTTTTGATTAAGATAACTGCACACCGTCGATGAATTAACTGTTGAAAATTTTTTTTACATCAAATTTAAGTTGATTTCTAAAACCTAAATTTTCCGAAAAAAATCTATGGCTTAATTTTACGAAAAAACATATGTAAAATGATCCGTAACAAATTAAAACACCTGTTCCTTTCCTAGGCTTGCTGATGATGCTGTTGGTGCTGCCAAAGTTGGCGTTTTTGAGACTACTTTAGAGCCCACATCCTTCGATCATCCAAAAAATCCAAACATAAAGATTTGGGATTTGCCAGGGATTGGAACAAAAACATTTCCTGACCTGGAAACGTACTGCAAGAAAGTACAGTTCGACAAGTATCATACATTCCTTATTTTTTCATGCACCCGATTTACCAAGCACGACGCCATGTTGGCCCAAGAGATCAGGAAACAGGGGAAGTCTTTTTTTTTCATTCGCACCAAAATCGATGTGGATTATCTGGCTGAGAAGCGAAAGAAATCTTTCAATGAGGCTAGCATGCTGCGCGACATCCGCACCGACTGCTTGAAGTACCTTAATGACGAAGGTTACAACCCCATCAGCGGTGAAGACAACATCTTCCTGATAAGCAACCATCATCCAAGAAAGTGGGATTTCGATCGACTTACGCGAGCGATTCTTGATGCACTGCCAAGATATCAGCGAGAGAGCCTCACCTTGTCTCTCAATGCCCTAACCAGCTTATCAAGAGAAATTATAAAGAGAAAAGTTGACATTTTCAAAAGGCGCATGTGGCTCGTTGCAGGAGCATCTGCTGCAGCTGCACTTGCTCCAATTCCTGGGCTATCTTTTGGTGTTGATGCCGCGCTGATATTCAACGAAATTACGGAGTACCTAGCCCAGATAGGTATTCCTAAAGAAGGGTCGGAAATATTTGATATTCTCGGTGATACCACTAAACAACAGGTCATCTCTCTTTATCTCAATTATGCCAGTGCCACCGGAATTTCCGCGCTTTTTGCCAGGGAAGCTAGAGCGGAAATAGCTACGGAAGAATTTGTTCGTTTTATTCCGTTCATAGGGTCAGCAATAGCTGGCACTTTGTCCTTCGCTGGCACATTTGCCGTACTTCGTATAGCTTTGAATAAAATTGAAGCAGTAGCATTAGCTGTCCTGGAGGACGCTGCCCAACGATCAGTTGACGATTTAGATCTTGATTAAGCTTGTATTAATCCTGCGTTTTGGTTAATTTTATAAGTTATTCATGGCATTAAGCTAAATTGTAAGTCACGGTTGAGATGGAGGCCAAAACCTAGCTGAAATCCGGCACTCTCTTCTTCAAGATCAGATAGAAATCAGGAATAAAATTTCCTTTCTAGTTTGTTTAGTAGCAATCTTAACTAGAATATTTTGAAGTCAACTGCAACTCGAAAATCTTTTCGTCGTATCAAAAAACCTGGCAAGTAACTTTCTGAACAAGGAGACACTGTATACAAATGTATTAATTCAAATACGAGATATAAAGTTATCTTGATTATTTCTGACCGATTCTAGCCTTTTCTTTTCATTAACATAATCACGGGTCTTCGAAGTCTCTTATGACTCATTCACTGGCTCAAAAACCTCTTTTCATATGGCACGTACATCACCCAAACTGATTCGTGAAGAATGTAACGCTTTTCTTGTAAATTCAAAAATATCTCTTAAACCAACTAAGTGAAGCCGAACAATCAAAAGTGCCTAAAGCATTAAAGGCACCGTCAGCTCTTTCAATAAAATTAAAGAGTGTAACTATTTTTGCCTACTATTCAGCCAGTGAAGCTTATTAGATATTATCCATTAGAGTTGTACCAATCTTTTTTTTCTATAAGGTATACTTGATTGATTAGTTGTTTGGAAAGTAAAGCAATAAGTAGGGATAATTAGACAATACTATCTTTTTAGTTAATTGTTTTCAGGATAATGATAATGTTAAGAAGATTGGGTAAAATAGCTTTGTAGGTGAAGAACTGTGAAATCTTCGGTTTTCATTGCTTATTTGATGGAACATTGCTCATGGTAATTATAATCAATTGATTTTTTTTATTTTCTCCTAGAACGCTGAATTTATTCCTCTTGTTTTGTTAGGGAGTAGTTGAATGACTCCTTGTAATAAAGAAGTTCAGTTTATTGCTGTAGTTGCCTTTCACGAACTTTTACTCAAAACTCGAACTCACCTCTGCAAGACGTTTAATGGCCGCGTTCAAGGGACTTCCCGCCTTTGAGCAGAAGTACAAAAGCCAAATTAATCCACTGACGCTCGATAAGTGATTTGGCGAGGTTATAGAGTCGTCTTGCTTTACAATCCGACAAATATTTTCGCTCGCGCACGATCGCTTTGGACGAGTTACATGCCCAAATTTGCCCCTGGGGAACATCCTATGATATTCCTCAATTTTAAGACCTTGATTCCAATGCGATCAAAGTATTTATTTAAAGGTAGAGCGGTCTAGAGAGCATTCTGCCGCTTCTACTGGAGAGAGAGACTTTTTTCCTGAAATGGCTCTGAAATATCAACGAAAGATTGCAACGGTAACTGAATATGCCTCAGCTAACACCGACGAAAATCCAGTACTACATCCAAAGTGATATTCAAAATTTGTAAACCTTCGTTTGCAAATTCAAAGTGTTAGTCTAAGATTGAGTTCAAGATGAGAAAGCAGTTAGCTGTTGTTACAGAGGACGGGACATGTTTGTTTGTTCATAAAGTCGTTACCAGTGCACACTGAAAAGTATAGAGTACGCAGCAAACGGTAAGCTGTCTGTAAACATTATTTCCTGTGCGTCGCAAAAATATTTGATGGATACTTAACACAGTAGCCTCCATTTGGGGCTAAATTATGCTCGTATGTTTGTCCTTAAACATTATCGGCTCCTCGTAGCCCACGGTTTTCGTGAGCTTTGCTCTGGGGAAAACTGTACGCTTTTCGGACAAACATCCGAGCCTATTTTTGCGCCAAATGGAGGTTATTGTTTATATAATTTCGAGCTAATGTTTATCACCCAGCACGAGACGATTAAAATATTGAGGCAAATATTTTTCAAAATAGACGCTTTCCCATCTCGACATTTCTGAAAAAAGGCAAATAGAATATTAGAAAATTAAGCTCATTTGACGTTTACTTTAGAATTATCCAAAACAATTGACTTCCTCAAGCTCAGTGAATGTTTTTGATGCCGTTTTTTTAAAGTACATTGGATAACAAATCATAAAGAAAGAGCCAAGGTTTTCTCTTGCACTCTGCAAATAACCTGTTTGACCAAACTCATATGCGACGATGAAGCAATTAAGAGCGATTAAATATTTAAATTACCATGTCGTATTTTCACACTGACGGATAATTTTGATGAGGCCTTCGATGATTCCACAGAACAAATCGTAAATAAAGACTGAAATTTCTGTAAAAGGAGGAGCAGAAAAATAGGATATGTTTCTCGTTAGTGTCATTTGCGATCTCAACCACAAAGCGTTTTTGTAGGTTATCAAGGTTCTGCTGATTCGATGTTTGTCTTTTTTTTTTTAATCTTTTTTTAATCACTACAAAGATGTGGAGAGCTACGGGCGTGACCTAAATAATAAACATTCTCTTTTGTAGTAAAATGTAAACTTTCTTAGGTACAACAGATCTGTCACTAATTAATCACTGACCACTGGCTTTTATTCCACATGTACAGACTTTGGTAAAAAAGTGGCAATAAATTGTATTTGAAGTAAAGGTGTCAAACTGTCTAAACAACAAAGCGGACAAATACTTGTTACAACTAATGACTTCTTCAGAAATTCAATACATTTTTTAAAACAATTATCAACTGAAAATATTAACTTGCGGTCCCCCAAAAAAACAGAACTACAGCCTGCTTTTCAACAGTAGAAATGTTCCTGAATCCTCTTGAACCATTGATGAGATCAGTTTCCAATCAATAATCTTTTGAAAAAGCTCAACTATAAGTAACTGTATTAAAGGTTTGAGTCATTTCGCAAAATGACATTAGTCAAGGTTACCCATTAACTGCGGACACCTTTACTGCGGCGAAAGCGAAACTTCTGTAAAACGGTTGGCGTGTCTCCCGTTGATGTACCCGTTCCTTTCCTTTGCCCGCCGAAAAAAAAGCATTCTCATCGTTCGACGATATGTTGGTAGGCGCCATGCGTAGACAAACGCGTCCAGGCACACTTTTACAAACAACAACAGATCGGAGATTTCGAGAGCAATCTGAATGTTTTCATTGGCCTGAGGAGAAAGCTCGTCTGATAGATAAAGGAATATTTGAGCTGTAATGACATGTGGCAGCGCGGATAAGAGCAAAATAGCAGCTAAATACATCGCCACTGCTGTAAATTGCTGCTGTAGATTTTCGCGGCGGGTTTTTCGACTGCTTCGCGGCGAAGAGCTTTCCTCGTGCTGTTCAAAAGCGCGTTTTCTCTTCAAATGGCGTCGGAAAGCTGCGTTTAATAAAAACAGAATCACCATCAAGTTAATAGATAGGAAAGAAGTGTTTAGGGCTAGACTGAGTTTTAAAAAAGTGAATTGATCCATGATTCCCACAAATTGAAGACTCATGAAAGACAACAAGTAAAACAAACTGAGCATGTTGAATATAATGGCGTTTCTCCTGGTGACGACTTTTTTAAAACTGTGCGGACATTTTATGGCTATGTACTGAGCCCAGGACAAAGCCAACACGATCAAAAAAGAATAACAGATAGCCACAGAGGATATGTTGCTTCCTGCCGTAAAGAGCGTTTGTAAGACACCATTGACTGCGTCCCTTCCCTCAGTGTACACCACATAGTAATACGCCGCGAAGAACGGTTCCGTTGTAAGAGCAGTGACAAGGTCCGCTAAACTTATACCTACAATGAAACTCGTCGTTGGAGAGCTAAAACATTTAAGCGGATCTTTCCAAACAGCAATAAGAAGAAGTAGGTTGCTTGAAACTGTGGTAACAGATAAGATGGATAGACAAACAGCACTGGCGAGATGAATGACCTGTCCAGCCATCTTGATATTGATGCCCTCTCGTTTCTTTTGCACGGAACACAGTTCTTTTGTTGATTTGTTTGCAGTGATTGAAAAGAAGCCGGAAAATAAATACTCTTTGCGAACCACGTCGTCAATTTGGCACCAAGAATGAATCCTTTGAATAAACGTCACCTGATATGAGTTAATTTCTTCGCCTTTTCTGTTTTCTCCAACCTGGACGAGGCGGAAATTGCTCCATCAGTAAATGAATAGAGGTAATCTTTCAAACAACAATTAGACTACTCTCCTTATGCACATCACGGCAGGTGATGATCACAGCGGAGAAACAATGTCGCTGTGTTATTGATATTCAAAACAAAGAACCTTCGAGTTTTCTTTTATATCTATAAATCACTAGCAACAAAGCCGTCAAAGTTTCACCTCTCTCAACGACCCTCGGGTTTTAACGATTCTGTGTACAGAGAATAAATCCAATGGTAATTCAAAACGTACTGCGTGAGCTGATCTGACGCAAGTTTACAAGTTTTTTGGCAGCTGCCGACAGCCGCGCCACAGAAGTTGAATTTAAAGCTGCAATTTTTGTTGACTTTCTACTTGTCATTACACTGTCAGAAAAACCGACAAACCGTATTAAATTTTAAAATGATAGAGTCATTCTTTTCTTTCAGGGTTTAAATCGCTTCTAACAAATGTTTCTCGCACAATTAAAAGTAGAGTCGATTTCTCGTTTCACAGAATCGGGTTTTTTGCGAGTTGTGAAATTATGATATCAATGCACTTTATGTAGAAAATGTCCTAAGGGACTTTTTACATTACACTTCAAAATTGACGCTCTGTAATAAGTATTTGGCAAAAATAAGTTAAATATCTTATGTACGATTTAAGATTCCGCCGAAAGTCGTAATCCAGTCGTTAATTAAAGCCATAAAATATACCGCTTTTCAAGCCCCTTTCAAGCATCTTCTTTCTTTAAAATGGAGGCGTTACATTTTTAGAATTTTTTTTAATAAAAGCATCATTTATTACCCAAGTTAATTTCGAAGGAAACTGCTGTAGTTCAATAGCGGTCCACTAAAGGAAAAAAAAAATGACAGCATTTTGTTTGAACACTTTGGTAATTCACACAGGATTTTGACATTTTTGCAACGAATATGAAGTGCACAATGGAAGCTAAAACACAGTCGAACTGAAAAAGATCCAACACTTCACAAAAGAGAACATAAACGCAACCCCCACTTGAATTTAAAACATCGCAAATGAACCGTCCAAAACTTTTTTTCCCCAATTGAAAATCAAACTGGCCGATGAGATCTAACCGGCAGAAAACAAGCCTAAACACTTCATGATGGTTTCTTGAATGAAGTCTGACAACATCGATGATTTTGCAATTTTTTTTACAACTAGCTTCGTCTTTTTAACCTAACCCTTCACACCCCAACATCAGTATGCATATTCTCCATACTGTTCTCTATACATTTCCTAAGGTGCTGACAAGGAGAATTTGTTAAACAATCGAGAAGTTCTTAAGTTGGTGATCATTTCCATTATTCGCATAACCTTAATGTATGATTTAAGGGCGACAGTTGTAAGGAGAAATTAGATTTCTAATCTAAGTAAGCAGATGTAATATCTGTGAAATCTGTCGAGTAAGCAATTTTGCCCGCGAACCTGGTCACCTACCGGGATGGAAGATGAATTAAAAAATAATGATTGAGCCAATTGTTTGATGATCTAAACTCAGACAGTTTTAGATGCGGCACAACCAAAACATTTCGAGGCTTACTCTTAATTGATCTATTATGGGAAAGTTGGCATCTTAATGACCTGATGTGGTAGACTAGGTTGAGGTGTTAATTGTAAGAAAGAAATTGGCAAATACATCAACACTGATTTTAGATAAACATGAAGAAGGAGCCGTCAAATAAATCTGTCTCTTCATACTTGTGCCAAAACTTAGCACTTAGGGAAGAAAAAAGAAAATCAAGTAGTAATTTACATTTGAAATACAACTAATTTACAATATGATCGCATGGTATAGTTTAGATAAGCGTAGCTTTTTAATTTAACCTTTTCTCTCAACAGTGCCGGAGTACAATTAAGCCAGTTGATTGATTTTTCAGACTGTCGCGCCCCGTGTAATCAATGGTTTGATTACGAACCGCCTGCGAACAAAGGGTTACCGAGATATGACCCAGATGAAGCCACAGCTCCACGGTAACATAAACGATTTTCAATTAGCTAACCAAAAATAAGTGTTTATTTAAATTCATTGATAGCGCGAAGCTCTATAGCAGGCGCAAGGCAGAAACCTTTTACAAGGCAAGAGTTAGAAACTCGTTTCTATGTCTATTTTCCCTTGATGGCCCTAAGCTAAATCTTTATGGTATTGCCAGAGTCTTCTTGTCAAAGAAAGGGCAGCAAATAGCGCCTAGATGGCAAGTTGTTTTGATAGGAAGGATTAATACAGCAATTTTCAATTGAATGTCAAAGTTATCAAATCCGAGATTGCGTTGTTTTCCAAGTGCTTTACTTCGCTCTGTGATTGGTTCAGAAAACTTGCGCCACTTTCTTAACCAATCACATGTAAAACTACTACCAATCACTTAGCGTTCTCACTGGCTCTCAAAGCATTTTATTTTTTCTACGGCCATTGTGCTTACTTAAATGTTACGAACCTCAATCAAAAAGCGCTCTCAAAGAAAATTATGTCATCAGACTCAGTAAGTCTGATGAAACCATGAGCCATTACAGGTTTGCCAAATTTCACTTAAAAATAAAAAAGCGACAACGAAATATTCTTAAGAGGTTGTTGTAAAAAAGCAGTTTATTTTTGCAAAAAATCCTTTTTCCACCTTACAGCTCACTGCAAATTGAATTTGCACCATATCCTCAGTATAAAACTGCTAATTTAGTGACAAAGCTAAACAGAGGCCAAACATTGGACAATATAGTTACACCTGGATAATTGAACAAACAGAGGTATTCTCGTAATAGACTATAAAACAAATACAGATTTGAGATTGTGAACTGCAGTTTACATGTTGAATACAGCCTTTCACGAAAGTTTAATGAGTTAATTTATGGAGTCCTTCCTTTTGCTCAGATGATCGGCAAACGTCGACGTGATTGAAACAAGTTACCCTATGTACAAAGAATTATCACTCAAAAACTTACGTTTACAGTGCTACATAGAGAACTATTAAAATTCTATTAGTATTTACCTACATTATAAATTCTCTAAGGATTAATCGGCCTTGGTCAAGCGATCTAACTGTTCGCCTAACGTCAATATCAGTATCTGGGCAACTGCCCACCACTAACACAGGGGCAAAATGCAATGTACAAGGCAAATCCAGTCGTTACACTTTAAACTAAACAAATGACGTACATACCATAGAGATGGCAGGATAACTTATGGATCAATATAGAAGCAGTAAGGCTTGAATAAGAACCAAGCCAAACTAGACTCCAGACCTCCTCCTAAACTTAACACTGAAAGACTCCTGGGACTGAGAGTTGAGAATGGCATACAAAAGCGACAGTTTGGATAAGAGAATTGGGAAGTATCAGCTTATCAAAGATATGCAGTCGAATGTATTCGCTTATTATAGGAAAAGTCATTTGACGACAACAGCTTATAGTACAAGTTATACTTTTGTCTCTAGTACAGATATGGATATTATTAGCTAGTGTTGGAATTAGGAACAGTTAGATCTGAAAATAATGACCTTTAACAGGTTTTGAACACAACATTTCGTTTATTTATAGGTTATGTATTTTTTTTTATCTTTGAAGACAAACTACGACTTCACTTACAGGAATCCTCACATTTATCTCTTGATCACTCATGTTTCAATTAGCAACAAAATTACGTCAAGCTTGGAAAAAGAACCTCTTTCATATTGGCCGATTTCTCACCAATATTATACCCCTGCATTACTTCTCACACTAAATATACAGCATCATTCATATACCAAAAAAGCGCATCTATAAACGTGTTCGCAAACACGCAAATTTTCCTGTGCTCTTTCTGTACCATGTCCGTTTCACTTTAAAATGTTTCCTGGTATATTTTTGTAATCTTTTTTTGTTCCTTACTCGAAAGGATCGAGTTGAGTCCTGGCTTCCAGAGTCATGTAGACCGATGCAAAGTGTGACCAACCAAGTGTGATTCCCTAGAGGGAATACTATGTACAGAATGGCGTAAAAAGTTTCTCCACACAGTGCATCAATCTTTTTAAAGAGATGTTGTGCAATAAACTGAGTGGCTGCCGGTTAGAAGTGAGTGTCTAAACCAAAGAAGTTTCCTTCTGAATCGTAGAAGCGTCAATGGAAAGCCTCGCCCATAATTTTACAAACAATGTTGAGATGCCACTTGCAGAGACTAAAGGAACATTATTTACTAGGGACAATGTGTCTAGGTCCTTCTCAACTGTAGCCGGCCGCTGCCCCACCATTTCGAACCCCACCATTGGCACCTGGAGGAGCCATCATGGCGGACAGGTCTGTAGGATCCCTGTTGGCTGTAGCTCTCAGCGCCTGCTCAGGAACTTTCGACGGGTCTGACAAGATCGACGTAGCTTTACTGAGGTCGCGTAACGAGGACAATGCCGCTGAGAACGGATAAATATACGTGCGTTATTGACCCAGCTTTAGGTCAATAAGGTTGGTCATTTGCTAGGTTCTGTTTTGGAACCGAGGTCAATATCAGCCATATTGATTGACCAAGCCAAGCTACCGGACGATTTACCATGTGGTACACCAAAGAACTGCCACATGAACTCGTCTTAGGCTTCTTTGTGTGACTTCTCACATCATACACGAGGGTAGTCACACAGTACTTTTCTTCGCGGGCAGGCCCTCGTTATTTGCGTCACACGACGCACGTTTCTTCGCCTGCGGAGGCCTTGAGACGAGTGGGGGAGAGGTTTGCCAGGAGTCTGGCACTTTGTCAGTGCCAGACCCCATTGCAGACCTCTCGCCGTCTTGCATAGCTTAAGGCCTCATGATTTTACCGCGGGCGAAGAACGCACCTGCTGAACCGCTAATAATGAGGGCCTGCTCGTAGGCTTCAGAGGTAGTAGATAGGGAAACAGTTACGATACAATACTTACCAGGTCTCAGTGCGGGTAAAGAACAGTGTTG